GCATCAGTGATGCTGCAATGCGCCCTCCCGTCCCAAAGTCCCTCACAGGTCCTCGCAAACTTTATATGTCAGTGCACGAAGCGACACCCTTGATATGGCCTAGCCAGTCTGGCGAGGGCCCCGGTTTGAACATGAGCCCCCTGGCATCCTTCTGTCGCATAGTCGTAGACGTGAACAGTCATACGGGGTGTCTTGCGATATCCCCCTTTCGAAAATGGCTGCCCGCCAACCGTGTAACTCTTGCACATGTTTACAGTTGTGGCCATCAACTCCGAGGAAGCATCGAGCGAAAACTCCACGTTTGGGAAACAGCCAGCCGCCCTTGATTCCTTGATGCGTGCAGAGCTGCATGTATTGAAGTTCCGGGCCCTTCAAATGACAGAAGATTCCAGCGAAGCCTCATTCTGACAACGGCCTGTGCTCCACTCGTGTACGTGTTGCAAACTGTTGAAACGAATGTGCGCGGTGCCAATGCGAGAGCCCATATTTTGAAAATGGCTGGTGTTCAAAATTTGTGCATGTATCAAGTGCTCAAAAGGACTACGCGTGGCGGTAAGGCGAGAACCCAGCTTTGAACAGGATCCGCTCCTCTTCGATGACGCGAGTCAGAACTTTGAGACGAATGCTTACGGCGCTAAGGCGGTAGCCCCGTTTCGAAGACGACCAGTCTTCCATCCGTGAAGCTATTGCACACACATTGAAGCACATGTGCGCGGCGCTCATGCGAGAGCCCCATTTTGAGTCCGACCCGCCTTCCATCCTTGAAGCTGTCACGACATATTGAAACGAGTGTGCGCAGCGCTAAGACGATAGCCCCATTTCGAGAATGACCCCCTTTCCATCTCTGCAGGTGGCGCAAGATTTTGAGACGACGGTGCGCGGCGTTGAGAGCCGTCCATCCGTCTGTGAACCTGTTGCGAGCTTCAGGCTGCAGAATCGAGAGTGGTGTGGAAGTCTCACGCGAAACGCCCTGTTCTCCCTACCGGCATGGTGGAGTTTTTTCTGGAGAGGGGTGGCGGAGGAGGGAGGAGGAGGAGGAGGAGGAGGAGGAGGAGGAGGAGGAGGAGGAGGAGGAGGAGGGGCAGGAGGAGGAGCACCAGAGGAAACCCAAGATGCGCCAACGATGCTGCAATGCAGCCTACCGTCCCAAGTCCCCTCGGTCGTCCGTGCAAGCTTCCCTTGTCACCATGAGAGGCGTCTCCTTGAAATCTTGCACCCACTAGGCCTTGCGTTCAGACGAGAGCCCCGCCCTGTCCGAGTCCAGCTTCCGTGCTGCGGCCGCCACTGGCGATGCCCACCTCAGCCAACGAGAGGCTGGTACCGTTCTCTCACCCAGGCGAGGCCGGTTAGCAGGTCGACCCTGCCAAAGCAAGGGTACTCCAGATTTCGTAAGAAAGGGAGGGGGGTCTCATTTCGGGGGGGGGTCTCTTCCAGGCTATCTTGGAGGGCCGGGGTCTGGGGACGATGTTTTTGGAGGGTTCTCCCACGGGGGGGGTCTGGAATGGCTTGTCTTGGAGGGTCCAGACCCCCTCCCTTTTATTACGAAACCTGGAGTACGTATCCTTGTGTCCTGTGCTTCGCGACCCATGCCCTTTGCATTCCCATGGCAGCGTGGCCCTTGGAAGGGTCTCGTGCCCTCTCGCGTGGCCTCTGCAAGCAACCTCGCCTGCTCTTCTCCTTTTTTTCTCCTCTCGTGCTGGCGTCGGGGCGCCCGGTCGCCGCGCCCGCATGGGGCGCCTCTGTGCGGGTCTGTGCGGTGCTGCGCGGTAGACTCCAGGCGATGCTTAAGAAAACCCAAGTTTTCGGCCAGAGTCTCGATTATTCTGAATGTTTCAATGTAAATCCTAACATTTGCATGGACATTCTGGGTTTGATTTCAAATTCTGAGACTATGAGCTTCTTAACCCATGAGTTCTGAAGCATTTCGCCAGGTGTAGGTTGGAGGAGGTCTCGAGCTCGATGTTTTTTGTTTTTGTTTTGACACTGAGCCGTCTGAGTTCGCCCGGCGCGGAGGCGACAGCTCGACCCTGAAAACTACAGCTCTTCCATCCTGAGACTACTCCAGTTTCTGTAATAAAAGGGAGGGGGTCTGGACCCTCCAAGACAAGCCATTTCAGACCCCCCCGTGGGAGAACCCTCCAAAAACATCGTCCCCAGACCCCCCCAGGCCCTCCAAGATAGCCTGGAAGAGACCCCCCCCGAAATGAGACCCCCCTCCCTTTATTACGAAATCTGGAGTAACTGTTGGAGAAGGCGCGCGGCGCCGAGGCGAGAGCCCCCATTTCGAAGGTGGCCTGCCGTCCACCCCTGCAGCTGCTGCAGGGTTCGATGGCGCATGCACGCGGCGCTGAGCCAAGTTCAGGAAGGGAAAAATCGGAGGCCTAGAGGTTGACACCAACACCAATATCGGCGGCGTGCTTCCACCGAGGGAAGACGATCCCGATCTCGGTGATGGTGGTAATATTCTGGCTTCCAAGGTGGCCGAAATATTACCACCAAC